GGCTGACTTCAGGACCTCGGGATCACCACTACGTTCCCTGGTCACGAGCAGTACGCTGTCTGTACCGAGGCCGCCTCAGGTTCCTCCCTTGCAACGTTCAACCGGGACCCGGTGTCTGGCCTGTTTACGCTGGACACTGCTTCCCCCCCGGTTGGGGCGTCCTCCCTGGGCCCTGCGTCTACCCAGGTCACCGCTGCATGCTCGTGTCGGTCGCTCACTCACTCGTCGCTTCTGTGGCACCACCGCCTAGGTCACCCCGCACTCCCGCGTCTACGTCACATGTCTCAGCATGGTCTCGTCCTAGGTCTTCCTGCGTCGCTTCCTGCCCTTTCTCCCTCACCTGCGCCGCCGTGCACCACCATGCACGCCCTGCGACGAGGGCCGGCTGCGCCATGCTCCCCACTCCTCCTCGCTCCGCCCTGCCACCGCACCCCTCCAGTCCCTGCACCTGGACGTCTGGGGCCCAGCCCCCGTCCCTGGACCGCGTCGCGAGCGCTACTTTCTCGTGCTCGTTGACGACTACACGCGCTACACTACGGTGTTTTCTATGGAGTGGAAGGCTGACGTGCCTGACGTTCTTATCCCGTGGGTCATAGCTGCGTGCCTCCTCCGCGATCTCCCTGTGTTGTGTCTCCACTCCGACCGTGGTGGCGAGTTCGCATGTGGTAGGCTTAGACAGTTCTGTCGTGCGGAGGGCATCACCCAGTTGTACACCCTACCGGTAACCCCGCAGCAGAATGGGGTCGCTGAGCGACGCATCGGTTTGGTCATGGAGGTGGCTCTTACCTCCATGATTCATGCCGGTGCACCCAATTTTCTGTGGCCGTTCGCCGTTCGCTACGCCGCTCACCAGCTTAACCTCTGGCAGCGCTCCCCATCTCTGTTCCATGCTGCTAGTCCCTGAGGGTGACCCAGATGCCTTCGACATCCTTACCCCTCGCACTTACACTGAGGCGACCTCAGGACCCTGGGCCTCTCAGTGGATAGCTGCCATGGAGCAGGAGGTGGCATCTTGGAGATCCACCAGCACCTACATTGACGCAGTTCCCCCACCTGCGGTGAACGTTGTCGATGGCCGGTGGCTCTTCAAAGTGAAGAGCCCCCCTGGAGATCCGCCTGTTTTCAAGGCTTGCTACGTGGCTAGAGGCTTCAATCAGTGCGAGGGTGTGGACTTCTTTTAGATATTCGCTCCGACCCAGAAGATGACTACTCTTCGGGCGCTGCTACACGTAGCAGCACAGCGTGACTACGAGCTCCACTCCCTCGACTTCTCCACTGCTTTCCTTCAGGGCAGCCTACACGAGCAAGTTTACCTGCGCCGTCTACAACGGTTCACCAGTACCTTCCCTTCTGGGACCCAGTGGCTCCTCCGGCGCCCTGTCTACGGCCAGCGACAGACGCCGTGTGAGTGGCACGACACGCTGCATGCTACACTAGCAGACATGATGTTCTTTCCGTCCTCTACAGACCCCTCGCTCTTTGTTCATGCTGGCCAAACTCCATTCTACATCCTTGTCTACGTATACGACATGGTCTTCGCTATTGCAGAGAGAGACGCGCTGGCCTCCGTGAAGGCCGAGCTGCTTAGGAGACACAATTGCATTGACCTAGGAGAGCTGCTCCGCTACCTTGGCCTGCTGTCACTGGATTGAATGTGTCGAGGAAAAAGTGGCACAATCGATTGATACAAGGCTCTTTGATACTTCCAAAGTACATCAGGTAACCGGGTTTATCCTATCCAAAGTGAATAGACCCTTCTAGAAATAGTTACACCCTACGTATAGCCACACGAGGCTATTGGTTTTAAGGGATTACGGCACGATTACGCTAGATATAGCGCGCCAGTACATCTTGACCTTGGTCGGTGATATAATCATAATAACATGAGAAACCAAAGAATAATGGAATAGGAGAAATAGGAAACTAAATGAGATGAGAGGAAAAGAGGAATGAAATTGAAATGAGATATAGAAAGGGAAATTGGTGTAACGGGGTCTTACTCTCACACTTCCCCCCCTCAAAGCTGGGTGGTAGAAGTAACACCCTGCTTGACAAGGTATTCGCGAAAAGGACAACGAGCGTTACCTATCTCTGATTCAGGAACCCAAGTGTCCTCAGAAGGATCATAACCCTGCCAACGGATGAGAAGCTCCACGGTGCCATTCCGACGACGGCGGTGTGTGAGCACAGACTCGACCTCGTACTCGGGTTCATCGTGGACGAGGACGGGCGGCGGCGGTGGGGGTTGGCGTCCGGTGCAGAGGAAGAACGGCGTTTGACCCGTAGCGGCGTGAGTGGCGTTGTTGTAGGCAAACTCCAGGACGGGCAGATGCAAGTCCCATTTAGAGATGTCGTCTTTGCATGCTGCGCGGAGAAGTTGCTCTACAATTTGGTTGAGGCGCTCGGTGTGTCCATGTGTCTACGGATGGTAGGCGGATGACATGGCGAGTTTAGTCCCAAGCAAAGACATTAGTTCTTTCCAGCACTTCCTGGTGAACTG